AAAGGTTTAATTTGTTTAAGATTTCTGATCATATCATCATCAACGCTAGCTAAACCACCATGTCCAACCTATACTTTGACTTCATCGTTCCCATACGAAAGCGCACGAAGCGTGCACGATCAGCTTCTAATCCATAGATCCGCCGGAATGGGGCTCCGCTGTCATCTCCGACTGCTTCTGCTTCATCGGAAAAGACACCATGCGGCCGGCAACAAACATCGGATGGATCGAAGGAGTTCAGAGAGTGCAGCCATTGTAAAGCTACGGAGACACCACAATGGCGTGAGGGGCCGAGCACCCTTTGCACCATATCAAATTTTAATTGTTATTAATTCGTGAATTACAATTAATTTAGTATGTGTTTGTTTGATTGACAACTTTTTAAAACACTATGTAATTTAATTACCCCTTCAATTTAAGAATAACATTCCATAATTAAAAAGAGCTATCATTTATGTGGGAGGTCTAAGGTTTGAACCTTAATGTTTGCGTAGATTGTATATATGGATATCCATTTTTCTTTGTTAAAAAAAAAAAACAAAAAACAAAAAAAACAAAAAAACTTATCATTTTATCTTATATTGGTAATTTGGATTTGTGTTTTTAAATTTTTGTTTTGATTTTTTGTTCATATTAGGGCTTTGAATATCATTATGTTAGGATCAATTGCCTTTGATTTTTTTTTTTTTTTTGTATTTTTAAAACTTTTATTCTCATAGGGTCAGAGCATCTTCAATAGATGGAGATTTTAGTTAGTTTTTGTAGAGGTTATTAGAAGAGAGAACATAGGAGAGGGAAGGGAAAGGTGAAAAAAATAATAATAACAGAACTAACGTGTCCAACTGGCGCGCAACAATGAGTCCCATAAAAAATCAAGTCTTGTCGGGAGAACTCAACATTCTCACTCTTTCACATGAATGTAAAAACTGTAAAAAATCATCCAAAATCCTCCTATTGGTAACTAAACTAAACATCAATATTAATAATTGGGACCCGATGTTGATTTCCGATTGAAATGTCAGCTCCTATTCATGACTTCAAACAGAAAACAAATAGATTCTAAAAATCATTTCAATTTTACCATATTAATTACCAAACATGCAAAATATTTTACCAAAATCTATTATCATTACTAAGTATTTATTTCTCATTCCTATTCTGATTCCCATATACCAACCAAAGACGCCCTAATTAAGCCCATAACATGGAAACGTGATTCTTGCATAAATACAAACAATCCCATGTTAGGTGTTTGACCATCTACATAGAAACCCATCCATTCCAAGTTTATCTATCCCAGCAATAATGAGCCAGTGACAGGGGCTAGATTCCAAGTACCAACAAAATACTAAAAGAGTAAAAGAATGTCATTTTTTTGGACGTGTTTCCTATACCTAGTCTCATGCAATTGTCTTGTCTTATATATGTGGACCATGTTTTAAATTTGTATATCAATAATCTATTGTTTTGATTCAACATCTCTTCCTCTCTTGCATGTTATGTGTCTGCACCATATAAAATATCAAGTTACATAAATGCACATGCAATAATTGAGGATATATATGTTAGGATAACATGTTCTATGAAAATAAACACACATCCAAAAGCTCATGTCAAATCATTAAAATCTATAATAAAATCAAATAATATCGGTGTATGTGCGCATGTGGTTAGTTCTTAATCAAATAATTCTTAAATTAAAAAAATCACATAATCAAATACAAAAAAAAAAAAAAAATAATAATAATAATAATAATAATAATAATTATTATTATTATTATTATTATTATTATACGTTATGTACATAATAAATGCTAAGGAATGTTTTTAGGAAAAATATAATATTTCATGCCATTGAAGTTGAAACTCAATGAAGATATTGAACTATAGGATTGGATCTTCTTGGGCCAACTCCCATTGCATGCCTCTCAGAGTGAACGCAGATTAGTGGGGTAAATCGAACTGTGAGACAAACGGGTAAAAACTCATAACATCTCGTGGTTTATACCAAAAAATAAAGATATTGAACTATAAGGATTGAATCTCCTTGTGGGATCGAGACGGGTCAGGTTTAGATATAAATGTAATACTTATGATAGAAAATGTAATACTAATCAAAGACAAATTGATGGTTATTATGGGAGAAAAATGTGATACTTTTGATGAAAAGTATAATTTTTAAATGCAAAATGTAATATTTAAGGATTGAAAAATTACTTATGATCGAGAAAAAGTGTCATATTAATCATTGATAAATGAATTGATTATTACTTATTAGGGAAAACGCAATACTTATGAGGAAAAGTATAATACTAATCATTCATAAATTGATTATTACTTATAGGGGAAAAAATACTTTTTTCCATTGAATTATATGATTATAGCATTTTTTTTTCTCCTGAATTATTCATGTATCTGTATTAGTCCCCCTAAATTATTCTAAAAGTGACGGTTTTTCTCCCTGATATATTAAATGAACATTTTTACCCTTAAAATAAATATTTCATTTATTTTTCTTCTCTAACAAATTATTGCTTATATGTAGGGATGACCACGGTTTGGTTTGAATCGAACCGAGCATTGTTGCAATCGAATCGGAAAGTTTCGGTTATGATTCAGAACCAGAACCCAATATATATGGGTTTTAGTTTATCAAAATCATGAACCAGCAGTTCAAAATATGAACAACTACTAACATTAGCTTAAAATTAGAATTATAATATTTGCAAATAGTGTATGTTTCTTTTCGCGATTTTAATAAATTAAAACCCAAATATCGGGTTCTGGTTCTAAATTGTAACTGGAACCTTTCGGTTTAGTTGCTATTAGAGCCGTCAAAACGGACTTTACCCGTCGGGTCGGCCCATCCCGCCCTCTACGTAGGTAGGGTGTGGGTTTCGAAAATAACAGCCCGCCAAGGAGTAAGCTTTTTTGGCCCGCCCCGCTTAGGCTCACGGGCTTGACGGGGCGGGCCTAGCGGGCAGCCCTATTTAAAAATATATATATATATATATATTTCGAAAAAATAAATTTACAAAAAATACTTCCTGAACTCCTTTTTGCTTGAAATCTTTTTTTGGAGAACCTACACTTATATATCTTGATATCCATAAAAAAATTGGGTTGAAAACATGTTCCAGTAATCACAGAAAATTCCGTTAAGTTCTTAGCAGTGTGTTGTCCAGAAAAATTATGTCTGACGCAGCTTAAAGGAAAAATTTGAGAAAATTACTTCTAGATTTGCTGAACTTCATATCTGAAAAAAAAAATTGTATCAAAATTCTTTACCAAATACTCTTAGAAAATTCCACAAAGAAAATTCCACAATCTATATAAAAAAATTCTGAATTTTCTGTCAATTCTAGTTTCTTTTATATATATATATATATATATATATATATATATATAATATTTTATAAAATCTAGCTATCACCTAATAAGTAATACGTAATAACCATAATCCTAGTTTAATGTTTTAAAATTTTAAACTATGAGCTTCATAAACAGATACTACATTGTAATAGAGCCAGTAGCATTCAAAAAATATATATATTATTTTATTTCATTTAACATATTCAAAAAAAAATCTATTATTATTGGGTTTTTTTTTTGAATAATTCGTTTTGTAGTTTTTTTTATGAAACCGACAAAATTATTATTTTCCATTTCGAGTGGGAAAAAAAAATAAAATTGCTGACACATGAACAAACATTGAGCAGTGCAGATGATGATGAGTGATCTGAACGAGCGGCGGAGATCTAGGCCGGGAAACCTAATATGTCTGCCAACAGGCAAACAATGCTTAATTATGAAGCGGTGATGATTTTACAAGAAAAAGAAAGAAAGCAAGCAAGCAAGCTAAGAATTATTGAAGATCGATGAGAAGCACACTTCACTAACATGTATGTGTGTCTCACGCCCTTTTCACTTCCATGCTCCCATCATTTACTTCGCTTCTAATTAACTACCACCGTTACGTTTTAATAACTACATACAATTAGCCCTCAAAATTTGGTGTAGTGTTTCGCTACCTGACTTATGTCATAACTGAAGATTGCAGTATAGAGATTCGAATCTCATTGAAAATATGAATAAAAAAAGATTCAAGATAATAAAATGTTTAAATTAAATCAGTTGTGCACACATAAAGACTAAGAAGACAATCTGACCGGTAAGCTGACTCGCAATTTACCTCTACCAGTAACTCTTAATATTAGTCCGGCAAATAACTAATAAGTGTATACATGTAGAGTTATATATATATATATATATATATATATATATATATATATATATATATATATACACTTCCGTTACTCTCTCTCTCTCTAATTAATATTGTTTGAAAACAATACATGATTTTATTATAGTATAACTAATATATTGACTAGGTAATTAATATATTTCTTGACCAAGAAAAATGAAATTTCTTACCCCAGACATCCCGGTTCAACATAATGGTGGAAGAATAAATTACGATGACTTTGGTGCTACAAAAAATCCAACACATTAAGTATCGTAACTCTTACAATCTATCATTCAAGTACCAACTGAACTGCTCATGTGAGTACTACTGTACTAGATAATATATTTTTATAACTTTGTCATTATAGTTGTTTTACTACAAGAATTGAAAATATTAAAATATCTACAAATTTACAGATTAAATACCATAACTTTTTTAAATTTCAAAATACTTACAACTTAAAAAACCCTGCAATTTTTATTAATTTACATATTCGCCAATTTCTTATGACGAGAGTATTGCATGGAATTTGTTGTCTTTTGTTTTTATTGTACAAGATAAAAGAAAAACTAATTTTAAATATAAAATCATGAAAATTTAAAATTTTAATTTTGATATTCTTTTCTTCTTTGGCCTTATCTTAATTATGTATAAACCAGCATTAGGAATATCCAGCTATGTCGTTTGTTTGGATAGTTTTGTTTAAAATGGCGCGAAATATACTAATACGACGACGTAGAGGCGTAGAAACGTATCTGACGTAGCAAACGAAATTAACGGCTTTTACTAACAAACTTCCTCTTTACAGTTCCCTCCCCAGTCCACGCTTTAAAAGGGTAAGAGAGACAGAAGAAAAAGTCCGACACCTCACACCAAAGATCACCGCCCACCGCCGTGACATGCCGCCGGAGATCCCACCGGCGCCGCCACCTCATTCCTAACTCCTCCGTCAAATTTATTCTTAGGCTATTTCAGATATATATAGAGAGAGAGAGAGAGAAGATGTCGATGACGAGAAAGCAGAACCAGAACCAAGCACGTGACTTGAAGCACCGAGTGCTCACGTGCCTCCACAAGCTCTCGGACCGGGACACGCATTCCGCGGCGGCGATTGAGCTCGAGGCCATTGCTAAAGCCCTTTCAAGTGAAACTATTCCGCCGTTCCTCTCCTCCATAGCCGCCACTGATTCCTCCGATAAGTCTCCGGTCCGGAAGGAATGCCTGCGCCTTATTTCCATCCTCTCCGAAAACCACGGCAACTTGCTGTCTCCTTACCTCTCGAAGCTTCTCAGTGCTGTTATCCGCCGCCTCCGCGACCACGACTCCGCCGTCCGCTCCGCCTGCGTCACCGCCTCCGCCTCAATCTCCTTGCACGTAACCAAGACGCCGTTCTCCTTCATCATGAAGCCGTTCCTCGAGGCGCTGTTCACCGAACAGGAAATGAACTCTCAGATCGGCGCCGCGCTGTGCTTGGCGGCGGCGATCGAGGCCGCGCCCGATCCGGATGTGGTGAGCTTGCGGAAACAGATTCCGAGGTTCGAGAAGCTGTTGAAATCCGAGAGCTTCAAGGCTAAGGCGGCGCTGCTTACGCTGATTGGCAGCGTAATCGCTGTTGGAGCCGCATCGAATCAGCAAGTTGTGAGGAATTTAGTGCCGCGTTTGATTGAATTCGTGAGCAGTGAGGATTGGGCGGCGAGGAAGGCTAGTGCCGAGACTCTGCTAAGGCTTGGAGTTGCAGAAAGAGAAACATTATCCGAGTTTAAGGCCTCTTGCTTAAAGACCTTTGAGGCCAAACTATTCGATAAGGTTTTGCATTCATTAATTCAGTTTTTTATCTTTTCATGAATGATTAATGAAATGTCTGATTGATTCTGCAGGTGAAGACTGTGAGAGAAACAATAAGCCAAATGCTGGAAGCGTGGAAGGAGATTCCTGATTTATCAGATGATGTTTCGCTTCCACCTGAATCAGATTCATCATCTAGAGGTATCATGTCATGGATGAATAATCATTTTACTCTGCAAATGTATTTGCCATTCCCTTTTCCGTTGGTTACTTTTCTTGAACATGTGTTGTTTATTACTATTTAGATGATATATTAGAGTGCATATGATTGAAAGAGGGGAAAGTTATTCTCTTTCCGAGTGACTGAGAATTTATCAAATTTATTCAATTATGTATTTATGCTTTTTAGACCAGGTTAAAATCTCTTAGAAATATATTAAATTTGTCTCTCTTACCATTACTACAAAGGATAAGAAGTAACATGGTTTAAATTCTGCATCTTTGTTGAAAATGTTGTTGTATAATCAATCATATGTGCTTTATTGATGGTGCAGAGAATGGTAGTGATACACCTGGATCCAGGAGCTCTGGTACTCCCAATGTTGGGAGAAGAAACCTCCATAAAAGCAAGACAAATGCACTAGGCAGCTCTTCTGCTGCTACAGAAATCGGGAAGAAAGCAACTCCAGCAATATTCCGCAAACTTGATCACAAGAAGCCTTCTGAATTGAAGATTGAAGTCCCTAATTCACAGGATTCTTCTGGGGATGATCTGAAGTGTAAAAATGGGAAAGGTGATGAGGAGAAAGAAGGATTCACAAAACCAGAAACAAAACGCCTCCTTTTTGGAAAGAGTGCTTCTGGGTGTCGCGTGGTTCCATGTCAAGATGAGAGATCAGATTCTAATGTTGTGATGAATGAAAGTGGGGATCTCTGTAAGAACCAAAAAGAACGTGATAATGATTTGTCTGAGATTCGGAAGCAACTCGTTCAAATTGAAAATCAGCAGTCCAATTTGCTACAAGTCCTCCAGGTAACTTGATATATGTTGTCTTTGAATTGTTACCATGTATCTTTCAGAATGCATTTCTTTATACCGAGTTTTTCATTGATGCAGAAATTCATTGGGACTTGTCAGAGCGGGATGCGTTCTTTAGAGACACGGGTTCATGGTCTGGAGTTGAGCTTAGATGAGATATCATATGAGTTGGCTGTGTCAACTGGAAGAATAATGTCAAATAGGGACTCAGCAGCCATGTGTTGCAAGCTACCAGGTGCAGAATTTTTGAGTTCAAAACTGTGGAGGAGGAGGAGTTCAACTTCACAATTCCCTGCTTCTGGTGGAACCCCATTCGTGGCTTCGGCTCACAATAAAGCTAGCCCTGGTTTTATTGTGAACCCATTGGCTGAAACCAATCATTACTCTCAGTCCCAGCAGGGAATTTCTCATGTTCCCTACAATGGAGTATCAAGAAATCTTCCCATGACAAGGTATTTCAGTTTTCCATACCTAACTTACATTTCTTTAAGGTTTTAATTTCCAGTAGAACTAGACATTCACTGCTGAAACGAAATAGGATAGCTTAGACCAAAAGGTATTGGCTCAAGTCAAAAGAGATTTGAGTCGCTTAAACATGAGTTGTGGTTATTAACAGTTCAATAGGTGACGCTTAACACTAAGGTATAACTAGTAACAAAGGTGCAACTTTTTAAGTGTTGGGCTTGGCCCTTCAATTCGGAGGCCTCCGTCCAACAATCCTCTAGCCAGACTTTGCCTACTCCGCCTAACAATAGGCAAAAGGATGGCTTAGAACAGTTCTGTTGTGGAATATTATATGATGAAAAGCTTCAATTATAAGATGAAACACTTGATAGCACACTCCAAATTGGGTTAGCTTCTTCACTGACATAGTGTAAATTAAAAGAGCTAAGGCAGTCTCAATGCAACTGCAAGACTGTATTTCAAAGAATATTTTTAATTAGTACACAGAAGAGCAGAACCTGAGTTCCACATATCAACCCTTTGCTTCATTTATGTTTTCAGGCTAAGAAGAATGGAACAAGGATAGATTGCTGGAAGACTAGAATGAATACTGAGGCATATACTTATCATGCATTTACATATTTTTTTTGCCAGTGTTTGTCGTTGTGCCAAATCCAACTCCAACCAATCCAGATTTTCAGAGTTAGTGGTTAGATATATTTGATCCAATTCCACATTTAGTTAGATGGAAATTTGTATAGGATTATAGGAAAAGTCATTTTTGTCATCTTTCTCCCCTTTGGGGTTCCATGATCAGACTTTAAGATATATGTTTTCTATACGTGTTAGTGAAATTGTGCTTTTGGACCTTTTGCACAGTACCTGATTAATGGTAATGGCATCTTCAATAGTGAGGATTTTGGTGTGATTTTTGAAGAGTTTTGGTAGGTGTGATTAGGAAAGAGAAAATAAAAAAGGGAGAAAAAAAACAAAACAAAACAAAAGCTGAATTTTAAAAATAAAAAAAAAATAAAAAATAAAAAAAAGTTACTAATTAACGTGCTAGGCTGGGCACAGGTTGGTCTTCACGAAGCTGGCCTGCAATTCTTTCTTTCATCAGCTGGGCCCCACCAACGGACAAAATCTCCATTTTAACAGAAGCAAATCAGTCATTCTCTCTCTTATTTCTCTTTCATTCATGGTGACAACTTTTTCTAAAATACCGTGAACAATCTTCCTAATGGAGATGCTCTAACATTGTTGGAGGTGGACCCCATGAGCTTGTCATCTGTGCAAATCCTGTGTTGCGTAGTGCAATAACAACCCAAGGAAATTCCACGTAATATATTTCTGCTGTTCGAGTTCATCATTTAAATTATATTGGGAAATACTATAGAGTGAATCTATAATGGTGCCTATTACATCCTTTACAACTCAAAAAGCTTTAAGAGATTGTTTTTTTTTTTATATGTACTTTAGTTGTATATAGTGTATATCAATTAATATCTTAAATTTTTCAATAAACTAGTGCAATTCCCGAGCAATGCTTGAATATATGTATAATTAAATTAATTTATTATGAATATTATATTATGATAATATAAATAATATTGAATGTAAATATGTATATCTTTTTTTCTTGATTATACATAGAGAAATTTTTTTTAGTAAAGTGATAGTGTTAATTGTAATATGTTGACAAGTTTGAATAGTTTTCATTGTGTGAAATTTTTTTTTGATGAGTAAAGAGATGCTACACCTCGGGACTATCTGATTCTACGGGAAGTCGCACCACCAGCATCATGAGAAAGAAAATCAGCCAAACTCTCTGGGGGCTGTTGAAGACACAGGTGCCCCATCCTTTGTTTTGACTGGAGTTTGCCAAGAAATCTGCACATTTATTTCCTTCCCCATGAAATATGAGAGAATGTGATTCCTTCAAACCTTGTTGTCATGCTTATGTAGTCCTCCATCAACATGAGCCAGATATCCTCCCTTTCTTTATCAATCAGGCTCGCTCCTATCATTTTATGGAAAAATAACAGACACAAAAAGGTTTTAAAAATTGAACAAAAATAGGCAAAATTCATTTGGCAAACAAATTTTTTGTAAAAAAAAATAATTTTTAAATTCATTTTTTTCCGAGACATGCAAACCCCATTTGTCAGGTCATTTTTTTTCCTTTTTTTTGTTATCCATTTCTACTGAATCTCATCTTTTAATCCTAGCAGGTGGAAGAAGCCTATTTCATACTAGGGAGCATTACCCTGTGCAACCGTGTCCACCATGCAAGGTGCACACGAAATTGAATCCATAATTTCTATACTATAAATTCATAATTTATAAACTGTGAATTCATAATTTCTATGCTATAGATTCATAATTTCTAAATTGTATAGTTATCAAATTATGAACATATAATTCATTGTGAATACAAAGTTCAACAATTGAGAATATGAACATTGAAAATAATGAACATAAAATTTTGTAATTGTAAATATAGAGTTCAATAATTATGAATTTATAATATAAAAATTATAGATCTATAGTATAAAAATTATGAATCTAATTCCGTGTGCACCATGCATGGTGCACACGGTTGCACAACATAATTTTCCGTCCTAGTCCACCCATTATAGCACATGGACTTGGGCCGGGTCAGACCAGACCTGGACTGGACTTGGGGCTAACTAGTCCGTTGAACACCTCTCTTGTCAGTTGTTAATATGTTGATCCAGAGCTTTTGATTGATTGATTGATGCTCTGAACAGAAATGAATATGATTTTTCGCAATCATGGCTATAAATTAACTGTCCAAATAAGCTGCTAAAAATGTGAGGCAACAGAAATGTTTTTGCAACTGCTAATACGAAAAAATGTTCATACAAAAAGACAGTTTGTCGAAACACTCAGAATGTCTAACCAAAACCAACTGAGAATACTATCACTTGGTAGGCCGTATAAGCCAATGCAATTTCCAACTTCTGAGTGCAGAAAATTCCTGTAAATTAGACATTGAACAACAGTGGATTAGTGATCACCACTTAGTATCAATGAAAACTTTGTAGCCATTACAAGAACAAAGGGATAAGTGAGCTTACATATCTTGTTGAAGGCTACAATATCGCAGCTCTGAACATACTCATTCACAGGTTCAACAGTGAGATAACTCTCAATAAGTTCATCCACCGACACAAGGTCATCCACAATGGTGAGCATGATTTGTAATTTCTTAATACCATATCCAACGGGAACAAGTTTAGCTGCAAAAACCAATCAACAGTTAAGAATCTAGTTAGACTACCAAGCAATAATCTTTATCGAAAGATTAATCTGCAGTTTGAATGTTAAGCACACTAGAAGAATGAATCCTTGAAAAGTGCTTTTAGAATTCAATATGCGTTGAGCAAAGTGGAATGCAATAACTATGATTCAAGAATACAGACGAGAAGAGGAACATACATGCTCCCCAAAGTAATCCTTCCATTGTAACACTTCGAACAGCTTCCTCAAGCTTTTTCATATCAGTCTCATCATCCCATGGCTTCACATCCATAAGAACTGAGGACTTTCCAGCTAAGATAAAATAAAAAGCCCAGGTAAGGTAATTTAAATAAACAGGGTCAACCAGACATTTTATTATATCCATTAGTATTTCTAAAATAATAATAATCATTGAATATAAAGGGAGAAACTAACACTCTTTCTTCTTGCTTGAAGCCTTCACAGCTGCAGCACGCTCTTCAGCAGCCTTCTTTTCCTCTTCAGTCTCCTCACCAAACAAGTCAACATCATCATCGTCGTCGTCATCAGCCGCTGAGGCCTGTAGTGGTGTTTCATTATGAAATAAAAACGTTATAAATGGCTTCAGAAAGCTAAAAGTAGGAAAAACAAGCATAACCAAACCATAACTCAAACAAAATAGGCAAAGATACTAAAATATCAACAATTACAGCAACAGACTTGAAATGCCAATAAGCAACGAAAAACTATTAACTGGGTTACCTTTGTGTCAGCAGCAGGGGGTGTTGCCACACCCGCAGGGATAGGTGCAAAACCTTCAACGATCACACCACAACCTTCTCCAGATACACCACTAATGAAAATAAATTGTAATATCAGAGAATTATACATACACCCAAAAATGAAGTAAACAGAGGGTGGATTCCTAGCATGATGTTACACAATTTGAAACTCAATTCACAGAAACTAAGGTAAAAGATGTTTTAAGTAGTTAGAACTCACGAAATCCTCAAAAGTGCATCAATGTGTTTGTACCACCGGGAAGCATTCACATATTCAGATGATGGGAGCTTGGAAAGTGATGAGTAAACTGTAATGTCATCCTTGGAAGCTTGATACCTGAGAAAGGAATAATAAGATGAATGAAAATTAAGATGGGAAACCATTAAAAGCAACAGCAGATAGTGACCCACCCAGTGATGTAACTACGCGTCAGGAGGTACTCATCAAGCTTCTTGACGCCGGCATCTGAGCTTAGGTTGTAGAATGCGACAGCCATTTCCAGATAATAATGTGAAAATTTCCTGTGAACACAGAAAAGAGGATCCAATCCGTTCATTGACACGAACTCTTAAAAAGCCTTGACAGCATGACTATATATTCAGCTCAAATCGGAGTTCCAAATTCCAATTTCAAAAATTCTTAAGACTGCCATACATGCATTTTATCAAACATCTAAAAATAACGATGATAATTGACATAGCTTTCTTCCTTCCATTTACTTTTCCTTTCCATCATTGAACAGATTTACAAACATTTACCAATCCCTATGAAATTAGTATAATGTTTAGACGTAAGCATAATAAAGCATTCGATTAGGCAGAGAGGTACCTTGATGCTTAGGGTTCTTCAAGCAACTCGGTGGCTTGGGAGAGAAGTGGAGTGCAGTGTTGAAGGGGCTGAGAACGCGAGAGGATGAAGTGCGGCAGAAATGAGAGAAATAATGTAGGTTTTAGGGTTTCAGTTTATATAATAGGGTCATCTGGTAATTATATAAAGGAAAAATTGTATTTTTGGTACTGTATTATATCCAAATTCTGACTCGATCCCTCATATATGATCATATCCATTTTTTACCCCTCATTTATGAGATAAGTAGCGATTTTTGTCTCTGAGGTTAGATTTCCGTATCAACCTGACATAAAATCTAAAAATCTCATATTATTAGAGGGATAAAGTGAGAAAATCACATCTTATTCTCCTTATATTAAAATCACATTCGCAACATTAGTTTTTACTTGTTAGCCTTCTATTTTAAGGTTTTCAACTTCAAAAGCATTTCAATAAGTATAATAATTTTAATATGACTTGTTATGAACCTGAATCTCGTATAAGGGACTTGAAACTCAGCACACACAAGGGAACACTTGATCACTGTCTTCGGACGTGTGAAATATATTATCCTAAAAGTTTCTAATTTTCTTTAATCTTTACTAAGCAGCAAGGGTAATCAAACTAAAATTTTTGAGATAAAAGATATCAAATTTGGTATATCTTGTATCTCAAAAGTTATTGTTTGATTACCATTGTTGCTTATTAAGAGCATCCACAATGGTTGAATTTTTTTGTAATTTTTGATGAGTTTTTGTAAGTGTGATTAGGAAAAATAATATGGGAGGGGAGAGAAAAAAAAAAACAAAAAAAAACAAAACAAAATTGTTTATGAAATAATAATAATAATAATAATAATAATAATAATAATAATAATAATAATAATAATAAACAAACTATCAGGCGCGCTAGTCAGTGCGCCTGAAGCGTCACCGGCCCGTGTTGGCATTTGCTGTGCGCCAAACAGGGGCGGAGCCAGGATTGAATAGTGCAGGGGGGCAACTACGATTGAAATACTAAATCAAATACATTGATATCCAGTTAACATATTTTAATATAATCATTACATTACAAATTTAATAAAGTTTAGAATAAATAATTTATAATTGAATCTATATTAAATTATTCTGTAATATGCTTTTCAATGCACATTGCTTTGTACGGTTGAAAAAATGAAAAAATTCACGAATGTTTTAAAAAGACTATTGATTATTTATTGAAAAATACCATCTTCACAACATAACATAATAGCAATTATTTTCTTAAATACATATACTACACAATTTTTACATTATTATGCATGTTAAATTAAATACAACATTTATCACGTAACCACAAATCTGCATAATTAACCAAACAAATGCACCTTCATATCCATTATTTAGAATAAAACAAAACCACTATTTAAAATAAACAATAGAATATGAAACAAAAATTAACCAAACATGTAGTTAGCTAGAAACAAAAACAAAACAAAAAAAACAAAAACAAAAACAAAAACAAAAACCGAAATTAACTTGAAAAATATGCATAAATTTTAATGACAAATTATCTTGTTATAGCGTATATACTGCATATATGTATGGTTCTAGAGAGAGAAACTAGTAGATAGGTTAAATGAGGTTTAATAATTTGAATGTGAGTCAACAATATATATAGTGAATACATAATTTGAAATTGGAGACAACAACAAAATTTTAATATTCTATATAATATTTTTTTAAAAAAATTAATATTATATTTAATATTTAAAAAAAAATTGGGGGGGGAGGGGGGGGGGGGGGGCCAAGGCCCTCTTGGCATACCTTTGCCTCCGCCCCTGGCACCAAACACACACAGTCTTCAAATTTTTTCCAGTTTGGCCCACCATGTTACTGTTCCAAGCACAATCTGCCATCGGGGTTCATGTCTGAGAGAGTAGCCCGGAGTGTTGGTAACCATGTGGGGGAATTTGAGCAAGCTGATAAGAGAAATTTTGATGGAGGAGAGCGGTCTTTTATGTGCGTTCGAACAAGGATAAATGTTACACGGCCTTTGAAGCCAAAGATGGAAATGAAGAAGCCGGGAGGAGAATGGTTTTGGCTTGAGCTACGTTATGAACGTCTACCCTCGTTCTGTTTCGAGTGTGGTGTCATTGGGCATTCCGATAAGTTTTGTCCGGTGAGCGCTGATAAACCTCTGGTGAGTAGGGAGAAGCCGTTTGGGGTGTGGATGAGAACTGGCGGCCGGAAGAGTTTAGCGGCGCCGGTTAACCAGTGGCTGGTTTTAGATGATGAGGCGGCGACGGGTAATCCGGTGGGGGTGAACATGGCCAGCGTAACGGTAGGAATTGATGGGGAGTTAATGCAGGGGGGAAATGGTGAGGCCACCGTTACAGGGAAATGAGGAAGCAATAAGGGCGGTAGTGAGAGAGGGTGTGAAAGGGGGAAGTGGGACTGTGGGAGTGAGGTGTGAGCTGGACATAAATGGGGCATTAAATGGGGGAGAGGATAGTGAGGGAGTGATTGTAACAGAAGTTAAACGTCGTAGGAGGGAGCTAAATGAGGAGGGATTATTAAACAATTGGGCTAGTCCAATGGTTTATGAGCAGCAAGACTCTTTATCTTGTGAGGTGGGCCCTGGAAGTCGGGCCCACCCGGCCCAATGAATATCTTAAGCTGGAATTGCCGTGGGCTGGGAAATCCATTGGCAATTCAATTCTTGTTGGGCTTGGTTCATCAAAAGAAGCCTGATATTATTTTCCTATGTGAGACTTTGTGTAATGCCAGATGTTTAGAGACAATGCGTGTGGCGTTGAAATTTGATAGCTGTTTCGGTGTTGATGCGGACAAACGAAGTGGGGGGCTGGCGTTGCTATGGAATGCCGGTGTGGATATGGAGGTGCGGGGATACTCGAATCATTATATAGATAGCGAAGTGAAGGGCGATGGGGGCGTCTCTTCGTGGCGGTTCACGGGGTTCTACGGCGCTGCTGATCGGAGTAAACGGCGAGAATGTTGGAATCTTCTAAGGTATCTATCTTCTATAAATACTCTTCCTTGGGTCTTGATGGGGGATTGCAATGATCTCTTATGGAGTGGTGAGAAGGAGGGTAGAGTACCACACCCTAGATGGCTGATGCGGGGTTTTGGGGAGGCAATTCGGGAGAGTGGGCTTTCGAATTTTGGGTTTGAAGGTTGTCAATTCACCTGGGAGAAGGGGCGGGGGACGAGTGAATGGGTGAGGGAGAAACTGGATCGCATTCTGGTCTCGGGGACGTGGCGTGATAATTTCCCGAAGGCTAAAGCTTGGTCTTTGGAGGGCACAACGAGCGACCATTTACCAATTTTCCTGGCAATGGAAGCAGTTCATATGGAAACTTTTAAGCGTCGGCCTCGGTTTGAAAATAGCTGGGGAAGAGATCCGGGGTGTAGGGAAGTGGTGAAGCGAGAGTGGTCTCGGTTGGGGGAGTGTGATATTGGGGTGCGCCTGAGTGAGTGTGGAAGAGGCGTGTGGACTTGGGGAAGAAATCAGAATAGGGGGGAGGTGGAGAGTATACGATTCTGCCAAGGGGAAATGGGGAGGTTAAGGGGGAAAGGGGACAATGAGAGTGTTCGCAAATTTGGGGAGTGTCAAAGGAAGTATATGGCAGCGCTACGAAATCAGAGTGATAGGTGGAGACAGAGAGCGAAAGAGATGTGGTATAAGGGAGGGGATAGTAATTCCAGATTCTTTCACCATTCGGTTAACAGAAGGCGTAGGAGAAACCGGATTCGGGGGCTGCGGGATGTGAATGGGGATTTTACGGAGGATGAGCAGAGGATGGGTGATATAATGGTGGATTATTTTGCCAACCTTTTCTCGTCGGCCGAAGGGGAGGCAGGGCCGGTTTTGGAGTGTGTGGATAGTAGAATAAATGGGGATCAAAATGCCATGTTAATACGGGAAGTTACTGTCGAGGAGGTCAAGGACGCGCTGTTTGCGATGCACCCGGATAAATCCCCAGGCCCGGATGGACTGTCACCGGCTTTCTTCCAGACCTACTGGGACATTGTTGGTCCTGAGGTAGTCTCTTTTTGCCGTCTTTTTATGTTTACTGGGATGCTCCCAGACCATATAAATGACACGCACATTGTTTTAATCCCGAAATGCAAATCCCCTGAGTCAATGTCTGATTTCTGTCCTATCTCGTTATGTAATGTGGTGTACCGCATAGTTGCGAAAGTGTTGGCTAATAGGCTGCGTGTGTTGTTGAACTCCATTATAGATCCTGCCCAGAGTGCCTTTGTTCCAGGGAGGTCTATAGTGGATAATGTTTTAATTGCCTTTGAGTCTGCACATTGCTTGAAACGTCAACCAGGGAACCGGGGTGGTTATGGGGCGTTAAATGTGGATATGAGCAAAGCCTATGATAGGGTGGAGTGGGGTTTTCTGTGTAAAGCTATGTCAAAAATGGGGTTCACTGATCATTGGGTTAGGTTGATGAGGGAGTGTATCTCTACTGTGCGTTACTCGGTGTTGGTGGAGGGGAAGGAGTGGGGTCCGGTGGTACCTGGGAGGGGTTTACGGCAAGGGGATCCGTTATCACCTTGTCTGTTTATCCTTGTGGCGGAGTGTCTGAGTGCTATGTTGAGGGTACGTGAGGGGGAAGGGGTTTTGCACGAGTTGAGGGTGGCAAGGGGAGCTCTAACTATTTCACACCTTTTTTTCGCTGATGACTGCCTTTTCTTCTTTCGGGCAAATAATTTTGAGGCTGAGATTATTCGTGATGTGTTGAGGGAGTATGGGCGGGCAAGTGGGCAAGAAGTAAATCTGGGGAAGACGTCAATGGTGTTTGGCAGGAATGTGCATTGGGAGGATAAGGAGGCTGTTTGTGATACCTTAGGGGTGCATGAACAGCAGGGTCATGGGAAGTATTTGGGGCTGCCGGGTTATATTGGGAAGAGAAAGAGGGATATTTTGGGGTTTATACGGGATAAAGTGAGAGCGAGGGTTATGCAGTGGGGGAACAGGTTTCTATCTAGGGGCGGAAGGGAGGTTCTCTTGAAAACAGTCCTTCAGAGTATTCCAAACTATGCAATGAATGTTTTCCTTCTCCCTATGGGTTTGAGTGAAGAAATTGAGAGACTTATGAATTCTTTTTGGTGGGGATGTGAGAGACGGGAACGAGGGGGAATAAGGTGGAGTCGATGGGGTGATTTGTGTGTACCAAAAAAGTTTGGAGGGATGGGCTTTCGGAGAGTGCGAGAGATGAATCTTGCTATGCTAGGTAAGCAGGGGTGGAACTTTATGACTAAACCCGATGCCTTGGTATCAAGAGTTTTTAAAGCAAGATATTTTCCCAAGTGTTCTTTCCTAGATGCAAAGAAAGGGTCTAATTCGTCTTTCGTGTGGTCTAGCATTCGGGAAACACAGAATATGCTGCAGCGAGGGGTTCGATGGAGGATTGGGGATGGTGAGCGAACTAGAGTGTGAGGGGGATCCTTGGCTACCCGATACAAATAACCCTTATATTACCACTCCGGCTCAAGAGTATTTAGGCAACCCAAATGTTAGCTCTCTCTTTTGTGTTAATTCAAAATCTTGGGACGTGGGGGTTTTAAGAGATATTTTTTGTGAGAGGGATGTGAACCAAATCTTGAGTGTTCCTATTCCTTATGGGATGAGGCGGGATGTACTGTTTTGGAGTGGGGATGATAAGGGGGTGTACTCGGTAGGGAGTGGGTACAGGTTGGCTGTGGGGGGTGAGGTAAATGGGGAGGGGGTGGTTTGGAGAGGGATGTGGAATTTGAGAGTGCCACCAAAAGTTAAGTGCTTCTTTTGGAATCTTTGCACTAAGCGCCTACCTACAAAGGATGCTCTTTTAATTAAACATGTACCTTGTGATCCTGTGTGTGTAATGTGTGGAAAGGCAAATGAGAGTGTTGTTCATCTTTTTATCAACTGCGAATATGCTCATAAATGTTGGCTCATGCTCAATGCCAATTGGATTCTATCTTATGTTGATTCTATTAATGTTTGGCTTGAGGAGATGTGGACCATTCCTTCAGCTGAGATGCGGGAGAAATTAATGATGGTGGCGTGGGCGATTTGGGGAGCCCGGAATGCAAATGTTTGGAGGCAGAAACACTCGGACCCAGGTGATGTTGTTCGACAAGCACTACTATATGCTGAAAATTGGAGGCAGGCTCGTGAGAATGGGGAGGTACATGCATGCTATCCAGCGCTTGATCATCACGAGACACAAAATGCGGATTTGGGTTATGGGGAGATAAGGGTCAATATAGATGTCACAATGGATCAAAGGGGTCGCCGCATGGGCTTTGGATGGACCGTTTTTGATTGGGATGGTGCAGTGCTGGAGATGGTTTTGTTCGCCAAAGAGGGTCTGTATAGGGTGCATGAAGTTGAGGCCATGGGAGCTAGGGAGGCACTTAGCTGGATCAAAGGGAAAGGGTGGCCGAGAGTCATCCTAGAAACGGATGCCCAGGTTATCACACGAGCAGTCACGGGAGGGGTCGATTTATCACCTTTTGGGGCCATTATTGAAGAAATTCGTGACTTGCTAGATCAAATGCCGATGCTTAAATTTCGGTATGTGAGCCGGAAGGCTAACACAGTAGCAGATTTTATTGCAAAGAAAGCGCTTGGCCATACGGGGGAGGAAAGAGTTGAATATTTTGATTATATCCCGCGGTTTTTAGCTGGTCCGTTATGTAAAAGCAATACTTATTATTAATGAAAAGTTTGGTTATCTTTCAAAAAAAAAAAAATGTTACTGTTCCAAGAACCTAAACATTGCAAATGAACACAATCTCTCTCACTCCTACATTCTCTCTTCAATTTGTCAGTGAATTCTCTGCCATAATCTCCCAAATAACCACATATAAGGATGCTCTAAGGGAATCAAAAACTTTTATGATAATGTATTTCACGTGCTTGAAGACAATTATCGAGTGTTTCCTTGTTTGTACTGAGTTTCAAGTTACTTATACGAGACTCATGTTCCTAACAAGTTATACAAGAGTTATTGAAATACTTTCGAAATTGAAGAACCTTGAAACAAGATGCTAGGAAGGGGAACATAATGTTGCGAAAAGTGGTTTCAATATAAGAAAGATAATAAGATGTGAATTTCATATTTTACCATTTCAATAAGATGGAAACCTAACGTTGGGACCAAATGCACCACTTCGCTTATAACTGAGAGATAACAAATAGATAGGATCATAACTTAGAGACCGAATCGTTAATATGGGTATAACTCAGGGACTAAATATGCCATTTTCTCTTATATAAATATTTTTTATATATTTGTGTTTTTTTTTTTTAAACTGGCAAGAAGGGATAACTCGAGAAGATATTAGATATTTAGTTTTTTGTGGGTTCTACTGTCAAGGAAAAAAATAAGAAAGTGACGCTACAGACGCACTTGGCACACCCAAAGAACGCGCACTGGGCGCATAAAAGGCCTAAAAACAAATTTATTTATTTTTTTTGTATTTTTTTTTATAAATCCTTTTCCCCCTAGACATCTCTCCGACATAGCATCTCAAAATTTGAGGGAAAAAACTCTTAGGGGGGTGTATTCAATCATGACTTTCATAGAGTTTTAAAGACTTTTATAAACTTTAAAAGTTTGGGGGTATTCAATTCAAACTTTTACAGAGTCTTTAAAAGTCATGCGGTATTCAATCAAGATTTTTAAAGAGTCTTTAAAAGTAGTGTGGTATTCAATTAAGACTTTTAGAGTCTTTAAAAGCCATGCGGTATTCAAAACGTTATGAACTTTTGTAGACTTTTTAATTTTAAGACTTTTGTAGACTTTTCCTTCTCAAATATAAAGAGTTGAAATCCAACCATCAACCCCAAGATTTCAAAATTTTCTTTCTAACAACTTTGAATGTTTTCTATCTCTATTTAAACTCTATTTTTCTCCCTATTTAAACTTTATAAACCTATCTAAATTTAATTAAATTATTTTTTTCTTCATTATCCTATATTTTCCTCATACCTAAACATTACAAATTTTTCTCTCTCTCCTAAACTTTACAATCTTCGTATAAAAATTGAAATAATATTATTTTTACTTCATTATTGCTTGTTTATATTGATTTTTTTTTTAATTTTATGCAACTTGTAATTATATTTTTAAATATTTTATTTGATCAATTCTTTTATTATAAACTAGTATTTGCGCCCGTGCGATGCACGAAATAGATTTGTTGTAATATATTAAGAATATTTGGATCGATATATAATTATTTAAATTAGAACATCAAATATTATATAGTGCGATGCACGGAATGTATTCGTTATAATATATGAATTGTAATTTGCTTCATATTCGATAGTGTAAATTTTAACGTTAAATTAAGGTTTGTATGAATGTTTCAAAATTGAATTAATTGGTCTCATTATCTTTATGTGTAGTAATTTAGCTATAGAAATTTTTGTAACGGAATATATACGTAATATGTAACAATTTTGTTATATTTTTGCAAGAAGAATACATAATATAACTGTTTTGAATTAGACGTTGTTGAAAACCTCTTTGTAGACGACATTAGTACGTAGTAGTAACAGAAGTTTGTCCATCATCGTCTAGAGCTAAAACCTTTAGGCCATAAGGATGAGTGACTCGGGAAAAAGCCACGTACAATTGACCATGATTAAAGACTGATTTTTTCAACAATAAGCCAACGTGAGTTAGTGTTTGACCCTGACTTTTGTTGATAGTCATTGCATATGCTAGCATCAACGGGAATTGTTTACGCTGGAACTTGAACGGCAATCTCGTATCAGAAGGGGTGAGAGACATTCGTTGTATAAGAACTTTGTTTCCTTGCTGCGTTCCATTAACTATTCTTGCTTCGACAATATGATCCGCCAATCTTGCAACGATGAGGCGTGTACCGTTGTAAAGACCAAGAGAGTGGTCTATGTTTCGCAGTAACATAATAGGTGCACCAACCTTTATTGCCAATGAATGATTAGGAAGTCCAGACAATCTCAATCTATTTAAAAATTCAGGAGTGTGTACTTGTGAGAGATTATCACCATCTATATGATTCTGCCTTACACAAAGAGTCACAGTTTAAATACATTCGACCTTTTGCAGTGTTCATGTCACACATATACTGATTAATTTGATCAACACCATCTAAAGTCGGTGAGATGATCGCTTGTCCTTCTAGGTGCGACTCTTCTAGCATTCTATACTTCTCACAATTACAATGGTTTAATTATTCACATAATTTGTTAACTATTTTTCATTTTCAAGTACATATTGACTTTAATTTGGGGTAACAATTCATTAGATATATTAGTTAATTTCCATATAAAATTTTGTTACCGATTAAGCTTTATTAATTTTTTTACGAATTAATTAATATTCTTTATTAGTTTAGGCGGAAAATTTGAAGAGGATAATTTGTTGTTTATTTATAGTATAGATTGGTGTAAATAATAATTAATAAATTATTATTTTCTTATAAAATTACACAAAATTTCAAAAGAGTTTTCCCATTTATTACGCAAAATTTGTTTCCATTATTCTCACAATTATTATGGTTACTTATTCTTAGAATTTGGTAACCATTTTCCATTTTAAGTACATATTTTGGGATGGCAACGGGGCGAGGCGGGCGGGGAGTATACTCCTCATCCCCGTCCCTGCGACCCCGTTCCCCTTCCCATCCCGCCCCCGTTCCCGGTGGGGAATTGAAAATATTCGTCTCCGCGAAGAATTAGGTGGGGACGGGGATTCTCCATTCTCCGTCAATTCCTAGTCAAAATGTTAAATAATTCAAAATTTTAATAATAAAAAATTTAAAATATAAGTCATAGTTTTAAAAATTAAAATACTAACTCTACGTGTGTGTGTGTAGTCGAGTTCAGGTGCGGCGGGGTCTTCCCGTGCGGCAGTGCAGCTTCACAAATAGTAACGAAAATATACAACATCAATGTTAGGAAATGCACCACAAAACACACAGAAATTAGGTTCGCATCACCAAAAAACACACCATTAGGTGTGAGTAAAAGCACCATACAGTATTTGAAAATACACCATTAGGGATTGTGAGTTATATAGTGTATTTTTTTGGTGTATTTTTTTATTTCATTATTGTGTGTTTCCCTTACACTGTTGGTGTATTCTGAAACTATGCCACACCCCTGCACGGGAAGACCCCGCCACACCTGAAGCACACAGAGTCAATTATTAATAATCATTTACCATTTCTAAATGTATATGTTGCTTTCAAAAAAAAAATGTATATATTTAATTTTTTTAAATTAAAGTTCGCGTCTTGACCTGCTTCGATTTGAAATTTGATTTTGCTCGATTTGAAGATAAAAGGTAAAAAAAATCATCAATTTCACTATATAGATCTATACAGTGAAATTGATGATTTTTTATTTTTTATTTTACCTTTTATCTCTTTATTACTTTTTTTTTTCGAATTAATTAATATTCTTATTAGCCTAATGTAGCACACAATTAGGCTAATTTTCTTAGTGGATGCGTTGTTGACTCTGTGTGCTTCATTAGGTTGAGAAAGTATTAATAATCATTTTCTTTTTTAATTAGCCTAATTTTCATGTCATTTGTATTCTCAATCAAATATTTTTTTTAATACATATCAATTAATTTATACTATAATTATTAATATAATTGTCGTTATATATTTAGAAGGGTTCCATGTCATTTTTAATCAAGTATTAATTATCATTTTTTTTTCAATTGGCCTAATATGCATGTCATTTTTTATTCTCAGACAATAATTTTTTTAATACTATTAATTAGTTAATTAATAATAATAATTTTTTAATATTTCCAATAAGTTTTTAATAACATATAGTTTTTCGAATTTACATATACTATAGTTAATCCATTTCCTTTTTGACATGGTTAATATGAGGATCCTTTTTTCTTAAAATATTATACCACAATTTATACATTTCGTGCTATCTTCAATCTCAGTCAAGTATTTTCCCAATTAACAAATTCTTTTTCCAGTTTAGTTATATTATTGTTTGGACGGTCTGACCATTTTCTTTTTCATTTGAGTCAATTTGAGATCATTTTTAATATTTAATCAAGTATTAATAATCATTTCATTTTTCAATTGGTCTAATTTTCATGTCATTTTTATTCTCAGTCAAATATTTTTTTATTACATATCAATTAATTTATATTATAATTATTAATATAATTACCGATATATATTCAGAATTTATATATTCAATGTCATTTTTAATCAAATATTAATTATCGTTTCCTTTTTCAATTGGTATAATTTGCATGCCATTTTTATTCTCAATCAATGATTTTTTTAATACATATTAATTAGTTAATTATTAATAACTTTTATATATATATATTATTTCCAGTAATATATTCTGTGCCATTTTTAATCAAGTATTAATTATCATTTACTTTTAAATTTGATCTACTTTTTATACCATTTTTATTCTCAGTCAATGATTCTTTTTAATACATATTAATTAGTTAATTATTAATAACAATTTTTTTAATATTTCTATGTTGAAGTGATTTTATAATACTATCAACTATTAGTGTAAATAAGTTTCATGTGTAAATACGATATGTAACCTTTATGCATTTTAAAGTTTTGTTATGTAATAACTATATAGGAAACATTGAGATATTACAATTGAAAAAACACATACTATTATTTTATTGATTTTCAAAAACATACTATCAATTAAATAAGA